AAACTCGGATTTTAATTGAATATGTAATACGCCTCGTACCCTTTGCTAATTTTGCACAACTTGATTGACTGTAATAATAAAATTATAATTCTGGGATAATATTGTTATACTGATTATTCGATGAATAATTTAATAGAAGCGTTAGCATATACCGTGTATACATCGTAACTGTTATTACTGCGTATATTACAGGCTTGACGTACTTATGATGTAATAATTCAGAGCATAATATTACATTCGCGTAATTGCACTATCATCTCCGTAATGTATTATACTCGAACATCGTCCACCATTATCGCGCTCGGCGTGTCTATCAGTACGTTCCAATTTAATATTCTACGTTCTACGTAATTCGTGTTATCAATTTCTACTTCGATTGTTTCCGTACTGTTCGTTCAAATCACGTTGATTCCGGTTATCAAGCGCGATTCAAAGCGAATTCTAACATCCTAATCAAGGTAATACTATATACCTACGAAAACGATATTACCGATTTTGCGACACACAAACTGCTTAGAGACGAAATTTTATAACAGAATTGTCGAATAATCATCTCTTGATTACGATAATATCTATATTTGAAAAAATCAACGTAGCAAAATATAGTAGGTATTCGTACCAGTTATTTGATTATTTTTACTATCATGAGTATCATAGTTTTGTAAATAATTATTTTGGTATATAACTATTCGAAATACATATCGTAACTGTGTCCCTTTTTCACTTTGCAAACAACCCAATTAAATATTTATTTATAAATAAAAAACCATATTTAAGTCTACATGTACCAACGTCGACGAACAGGATTTTCTACAAACACATATACTATATATTCTACAAACGATCGTTTCACAAAACGTGACACTATCACCGCAAACAATAATCACAGAATTAAGACATCACGTACAACTCGTATCTCCTACGACCGGAGCAAGAAACCAACATAGACACGACATAAATATCTGCCCTCGGCGAAGAAATTAATTCAACTTCTCGCGTACCAAGCAACCGGATTATCAATTTCCAGTTTGATTGCCAACTACGTCGAGCAGTTATCAAATAAGAGAAGGCAACGTGAAACTATCTGCCCCATTCTGCTATCGAGGGGTGCTTGCAACGGGAGTAGGCGGAGGTGGTTTGGCCCCGTTTATCTTGAGATTGAGCATTAGGATTCAGTATATGGTGCCGGCCTTGCCGGTGGGAGATAAGGGGGTAATTTCTGTTCACCGAGGGGGTCAGAACTGCCCGTAGCTCATCTCTACGGCGGCGTATACCTACCACCCCCTTGGCCACTTGGCTCACCAGCCCCCATGGTCGAAAGTCGTTTCCACGATCTTAGGGGCCACGAGCTCGGCTTAAACCCCATGCAAATTAGATGCGGGATCTTATGGATGTAGATATAGTCGTAAGACCGTTGATATAGATACGCGCCGTGTCATAGAAACGGGATAAATGACTGTTGCTTGGTCACTGGACCAGCACGTTAATCATTTATACCGTAGATAACTAGACGCCCTGTTGCTCTTATTAATTTTATCCAACCGCTTGGAGTGATAACACTGTTACATTTCTTATTAGGTTGGATACGATTTAAGTGATATACAATGAGCCACAAAAGTATTTGGATATTTGGTGTGAAAATCATTTTACGAATGTATTATCCCCCTCCCCTCTCTCTCTCTCTCTACAATAATTTCGTATAATCTTCCTCAGAATTTACACGAGACCATTAGCTAAAAGAATAATCGACTGTACTATATAATTCGTAAAAAAACAAACAATTAATTTTTGCGGAGATGATCAATTTAGTTTCTACACGCAACGAAGTCTCCTATTATTAACACGCATTTGATCTTCATCGCGATTATTCGTAGAAACGGACCAGCGACCGATATACAGGAAATGCACGATCCTTCGATCCCGACTTTTGTATCATTTCCGCTGCAAATGACGTCTTTTTACAATCTACGTTCGATGCGTCACGCAACTTTCAATACGGTAGATCGACACGCATCGTATTTCTCGGTAAAACAGCGCATCGGCTTGAAAACTTTCCATGAATCGTGCAACCTGGTTGCTCGACATGACACGCGATTATGCAAAGTATTATACTAAGTGCCATTAAGCGACATTACAACGCGCTTTTGCATCCTCTGCACGAACTGAAACATTATACATATGTATTATTTTACGAGATGAAGAATAAAATACAACTTGTTTTTTTTTACAAAATTCTGGTCTTTTGACGTGCTATGTTTTTTTAGCGAATTGTCAGCTTTTTGTTTCCTCCCTTTCGTACGTTTATAATGCTCTTTGTAAAACTCTGTATTATTTCTGATTCCACATACCATTTTGAATCAATAGAACGAATCAGTGTTTCTTTTCTCTCCTTTTTTTTTTCTTTTTTGTTCATTTTAATAAAAAGTAAATCAAACGTTTTTTCCTAAGTTACGTATTAAAATTTTGCGTAGGCTTATAATTCGCGATAGTCAACCTTCAACATTTTCTCATACCTATTTGTTTTCCTTTCTTTTTCAAATAACGAAATAGAAGAAACCTATTTCATCTACACCCCCCTTTCTAGTTCCAGAATCGATTTTCCAGGATCGCAAGGAGTTCTTTACGGCGGGGATGTTCGCCTTCCAGATTATTTACGAAGTTCTCAGAGGGTGTGTGTCCGTTTTTTCGGGGCCGCTGTGAGCCTCCGTAAAGCTTTCGCGTGCGCCACGGTCCACGTAAAGGACTGACCACCCCTTTAGCTTCTACATCCGGTCGACACCCTTAGATTCATTCGTCGTTCTCATTGGCGTAAAATGACAATTTTTTCAAGATTTTCACCTCCCACTTGACGCCTCCGGTACATACTACACATCCGCATCCGAACGAATTACTCTATTCAATTACAGAAAACAACCTAATCGATCACTTGTTACTTTGATTCGTTTCATTTCCTAGCTTCTACTCCAAACTACAAGCCAAACATGATCTCGTATGATATATGTCTCGAGCATGCCGGTGTGTTTCGGAAAGAAGCTCGAGTTAAGACAAATTTTTTGGGCAAACGAAAAAACAGCCACCCTCGAATCGACAAGCTACGCCAATGTCCCGTCCATCCCTTGGTCAAGGGTGGTTTAGGGTGTGTAAGCCACGAGAGCGAGAGGAGAAAAGACGAAACGCGGGGGTGTGACGGAAGGCGAGTCAAGGGTGTGCGTGCGCCCTTACGCACTCCCTTACGTGTAACCAGGTAACGTACACTTTTGCATAAACCAACTGTCGACCACAGTCGCACACCCACGAAACACATACAGGGTGCTCCTTCGTGCACGAGTCGCCGTATATCCACACATAAATTTCACAGGAACGTTCGTGTATCTGTGATGTGTATCTGTGACGGAGTATATGTGAATGTGTGTGTGCGCGCGCGTGGGTCACGGAGAGCACGGAGTAGCCGCGTCCAGGCGAAGTATACCCCGGTGAAACGAGAAAGGAGGATAGGGAATGCGTAGCGGGAATCGGAGGAACAAGGTACGAGGAGACGTAGATCGGTGGACGAAAGAGAGAAAGCGGGACAGAGGGAACGCTAGGTAAGACAAAGAGGGATGCAGAGACGGACAAGGGTCGGAGGGTGGTGGGCGGGGGTGGCTCTATCTCCTGCACTCCTAACTAACATGTATTTTGCATAAAGCTTACATTACTTGAATTACAATGCTCCAGTGCCGTCTCATACTACTCCCGTGCCCTTCGCACCCCCGATACCCCCTTATATCCCAACCAGGCCACCCTTCGTCCTTCTGGAGGAGAGATGCTGCCATGTAAATTGCTTCCAGAGCCAAGTTTGCGCGCAAGTGCTCGACACACTACGCGTTCATCTGGCTATGTGTGCGTGCGTGCGCGCGCGTCATACATCAACAGGACGTCTGTGTTACGATCATGTGTGTACGTGTACTATGGGCTAGTGTGCTAGCAGCCGAATACGCGAATCACGCGTCGCTGGGTCAGTGTTCGTTCGTGAGGGTGATTCTGGACAACGCGCCCTCCACTCTATGCTATTAGGTACACAGACTGCGGTATAGAAGATCAGGGATACTAGGGGGTGGAAAGGTGCAGGGAATGCGCGGGGAAAATTCATTATCTCCGTCATTCCACTGAAAGCGTTATGGGCGCGATATAATTGATCGTTAGGCGACCGTTGGTTGTGTACAGAAATTGATGTTTTGCATGAAATTGTATAATCACCGATTAAAATTCGTATCATTAGACGTCGATTATTTGATTTGTGGCTGCGTACACGTGGCTAGTGCCATTTGTGGTCGATGAATCGCTTGCCTGGGAATTTAACCGGATTCGGTTTAACGCGAGAGACCGCGGAGGAAGTTTCTCGATCGTTGCCTGACCCCGGATAAGGAGAAGTTGTGAGATGTTTAATTAAAGTAATTTAAAGGACGTAGTTGCACGAACCGCGGAAAGCCACCGGCGCAGAATAGCACTTTAATTATTTAATATCCAGTCATCCAACAAGTAATATCGTTTGTTTCGACAACTTTGCGTACTTTGTTTCGCCGTGGTGCTGAGGGTATCTTATTTGAATTTTTGCACACCATCATCTCTGTACGCCATATTTGAATGGTATTTTTTCGAAAATGAATGATATTTTAGATAAACAGATATTGCGATGCACGCAATTTGCTAGTGGAACGAAACAGCAAACAGTATGTTAAAATAAACAGTATTGCTTAGGGAAAAATCTTATTAATACAAGCAAAATATAGATGAGAAATATTTTGATGAAAGCGAATGGATTAAATAGTTAAAAATATTTCGAAAACACCTATAACAGCACTTTATATGAAAGTACTTTTGAAGTTAGAAATCGTAAAACGTAATTTTCTCTTCAGAAGTAATTGTAGGTCGGGGAAAGGAAGTGCACTTTTCTGTACCAGTAACAATACACTTTCCTTTTTCTTCATCCAAAGGAGAAAATGATTCCTTTGCTTCTTTATTTAAGATTTTTTAATTTGCTCGCATCCAAATTGCACGTTAGTAGGAACGTTGCGTTGAAAGGTGACGATTCCACGAGGTGTCACGCCGTGCCGAACTTCCTGGCCGCGTCTATTTCCAGCCGACGCGGAAGATGGAAACGAAACTTCTTTCAGAGCGAAGAATAATTTTCTCTGGAACGTGGGGATAGTGTGCACGGGATCGTCCCCTAGCTGGGCAAAGTCCTCCATTGGCTTTTCCTTTCTCGCGGCCAGCCTTTTAACCGATCTTTCTTTCCTTGAATTACTCATGCTCGCGTACACGTCCGACGCGTAGATAGCTATAACCAAGCTGCCGAAGAGAGTATAAAGAGAAAGAGACTTTTCACGTACTAAAAAAGATGCTGCTTCTTCGCACGCAGAAACAACCCACAAAGAACTTACCCGCGTGAAGCCCTTATCGGTTTTTCACCTCGCATCATCCCTTTGCATGGCACCTCTCTCCTTTCCATTACTCACGCTCGCGTGCCTCTCCACGCGTTTGCCCATTGCTGTATTAAAAAAAAATATATATATATATAAAGTAATAAAAAGAAGCGTGACACGAAGAAAATAAAGACTTTTCAGCAGATACTAAAAAATAATTTTTTCCTTGGGAACGGCTCCCCTTCCGGCCGGGGGTGGGCACACGGTAAGGTAGAGGGGCAGCATCTTCTGCACTTGAGCCACCCCGTTGGACAAAGCCCTTATTGGCTTTTTTCTCCCCCGACGTATCCCTTTTGCCCGGCTTTCCTTACATTATTCACGCTTGTGTGGCACGCGTGTGTACGTGCGTTGGCGCATGAGCGTAACGAGGAAAACTTGCGCCCCGTGTCACGACTAATGGACATTGCGCGCGCGCGCGCGTGCCTTTGCACGAGATAATTACGAGGCCGTGTCCTTGATGCCTGCCTTTGTCCTTTCTTCGTAACCAACGTCAGCTCGGCCAACGTTTTACAGAACACGTACGAACGCGTGGTTCTCCACCTGTATGTACCAGCACGTGCTTGTATAAGCTCGTTCACGGGTGATCGTACTAGTTCAGAGGAAACCGAGCCAACGGTATCCTGGTTACACAATGGAAGACGATACCGGTGACTCGGCGACAAGATGTAAATCATCGCGTAACGCTCGATGTATCGCTTTCTGCGGACGAAACGATAAGTTGATGATCAGCGAGCCGCACGAGAATGACAAACGTTTCTCGGTTCAGCGGCTGATGATGTCCTGGGCCATTGGACTGCGGGCGATCGCGGCCGAGGAGAAATTAATGGCAGAGAGGAGCCACGATTGCGGGCGATTATTGTCACGGCGCATTGTATAAAGGTGGTCTGACGCGGAGGACGTTATCTATGCATCTGAAATTGACTTTGTAAACCTTCTTGAAGTATGTTATTCGACGCGAATACCTATGCGACATCGGAGATTATCATCTAAGGATTAATAACTTTACGCTCCAATTATTTCAAGTTGTTATAAATGGTATCTCGTACAAATACCTATTCCAACTAGAAATTGTTAATAATTTCAAATGAACAAATTTATATAACTACCTAAGCAGGTTCTCTCCGATCCTTTCCTACCTTCAATCCCGCCACACGTACCGCATTAATATCCATTTCCCATAAAAAGTGGAAAGTATATATTTTCCATATCTGATGCCATAAATACAGAAAATCTTGAAATTCTCGAAACTGAAATTCTTTATCGCTTTATCGCGCTGTCATTAAACGTGTTATACGATTCCTTTTAAACAAATTTCTTCACTCTTCATCGTTAAAACATCACACAACCACCTTACAAATAACATTCAATTTCGATCATTATTTCGAATTTATTGCCTAATATGTGGCAATCCGCCGAAAGCAAAAGACGTGAAGACTCTTTTTCAAGAGGACGATGCTTTTTATACCTGGAAGGTCATAATAAGCAGCGAGAGCACCGAGCAGGTGGACTCATCAGCCGACATACGCGAGCGTATAAATTCGAGGATTACAAACTCCTACATTTAAATGACCCGGGGCTCTATACATTGCTGGGGACCGTGCACCGGGTATACGGCAGGACAGCGTTACCTTCAGCGGGATAACTTATTTAAGGCAGACAACGTACAAGACACTGCGTACACGGCCGGCGAGTAGGATGAGCGTTGGGCTACTTTGTATGTACGCATGCTGACATCTTACCCACCCTTTCAACCGCCTCCGCCTTCCTTCAACGGTGGTCGAAGGGGAGGAGTGGGCTGTGAGATCAATACTGGCGCCCCCTGGCGCATTGTATAAAGGTGGTCTGACGCGGAGGACGTTATCTATGCATCTGAAATTGACTTTGTAAACCTTCTTGAAGTATGTTATTCGACGCGAATACCTATGCGACATCGGAGATTATCATCTAAGGATTAATAACTTTACGCTCCAATTATTTCAAGTTGTTATAAATGGTATCTCGTACAAATACCTATTCCAACTAGAAATTGTTAATAATTTCAAATGAACAAATTTATATAACTACCTAAGCAGGTTCTCTCCGATCCTTTCCTACCTTCAATCCCGCCACACGTACCGCATTAATATCCATTTCCCATAAAAAGTGGAAAGTATATATTTTCCATATCTGATGCCATAAATACAGAAAATCTTGAAATTCTCGAAACTGAAATTCTTTATCGCTTTATCGCGCTGTCATTAAACGTGTTATACGATTCCTTTTAAACAAATTTCTTCACTCTTCATCGTTAAAACATCACACAACCACCTTACAAATAACATTCAATTTCGATCATTATTTCGAATTTATTGCCTAATATGTGGCAATCCGCCGAAAGCAAAAGACGTGAAGACTCTTTTTCAAGAGGACGATGCTTTTTATACCTGGAAGGTCATAATAAGCAGCGAGAGCACCGAGCAGGTGGACTCATCAGCCGACATACGCGAGCGTATAAATTCGAGGATTACAAACTCCTACATTTAAATGACCCGGGGCTCTATACATTGCTGGGGACCGTGCACCGGGTATACGGCAGGACAGCGTTACCTTCAGCGGGATAACTTATTTAAGGCAGACAACGTACAAGACACTGCGTACACGGCCGGCGAGTAGGATGAGCGTTGGGCTACTTTGTATGTACGCATGCTGACATCTTACCCACCCTTTCAACCGCCTCCGCCTTCCTTCAACGGTGGTCGAAGGGGAGGAGTGGGCTGTGAGATCAATACTGGCGCCCCCTGGACCAGAGCCGCTACCGGCTCTCCCCCTTTTTCACCCCCCTTCCTCAACCCTCATAGCCAAGGGAACGAGAAGGAGACATAGAGAGAGAGAGAGAGAGTGGGAGGGAGGGAGGGAGAGAGAGAGAGAGAGAGAGAGAGAGAGGGAGAGAAAGATAGAAGGCGAAACGAGGCCCACGCGTGTGAGAGCCGGACCTCTTAGAATCACCAACCCCCAAAAACCCAGCCGCCTACGCTGCTGCCTCACGGCCACCGCCGTGGCAACCACCCTCCGAACATTCACTCTCACCCTTCGCCGCTTTAAAGCGATGTATCCGTATTAGGCTTTCCTACAAGGAGCCAAGGTTAGGTGTGGAATATAGAGAAATTTGGTTGGTTGGTTTTATTTGAAATTGAGATTTTTGACGGTTTATGAATTGCAGTATGTAATATGAAATTTAATTAATTAGTATCGGCATGTAAATGTTATGATAGATACAATGATGTGCGAATACTTCTCATAGCTACCGTATTTTGATACAGGGATCAAAAATATATTCCTTATATTTAAAATCATAAACATACATAGAAGGTTGTCAAATTTTTATTTCAGGTAATAATTGGAAATTAAATTAGGTTAATTTCTGTATAAGAAGCATCCCTAGTAAATAGAAATAATATATTATTATTATACGTCACTGTAAGGAAGAAAATAACAATGATGTGTTTTTCTTCCGTTTAAAAAGTTAATATCTCCTTTTCAACGCCATCTCTAACAAAGGAGTTATTACAACAACGTCACCCTATTCTGCGTTAAATTGTCTATTCCGCTTTAACCTAAGGGGAGACAAGTATCTCACGAAGAATATTTTCTACTACCAAATCTTCCTTGCCTTAAAACAACCTAGCAACATCCCGAATCCTGCACCCCTTTTCCGTGGACCAATATACGTGTCCCCTCTGAGTCTCGCGACGCATCACAGTGATCCCCTGTTTAATCATCCTGATAACTTATGCTGGTCTTCCTGGCAGCGGACAAAAAGCCTGCCCGGTGACCTGGACGCGTACGAACCGTTGAAGACGGACACTCCTATCATTCCGTTAGCCATCGTGAGTTTTTGCATGGCAATTAATCCACGAAGGTAATGGTCCTGATCCTAGCCACCTGGTGCCCACCGTCCTGCAAGGACAATGGCTCGTGGTCCTGCGTGTGGTGTCCTTCTCTTTTCTTCTATCGCGCGTTACACGTCCCCGCTGCCTCCTGGTCCAGCGTTTCATTAAGGGGAAACCCGTGAGATGATGACCTGCATCATCTCGCGTCGTGGCGGACTCGTGTGAATGCAACCACCGACATGCACCCCAGTGTCTGCATTGTTAAACAGGACGTCTCTCTGGCCGACAACACTTTTCGTAATAAACCACGGGGCCGAGCGTCTCGAGGCGCGAAAATTTATAAAGCAGATTACGCTTTAATCTTGCACCGGGATTCTTTTCCGTCGTGTCGTCACGCAGAGGCGAAGGGAAAAGCCTGGTGCGCTGGTCTTCACTCCGCTGGGAACAAAGCTGAGGACAAGAAGGGAAGGAGCAAGTCGAAACTGGAGATATCGTGGCTCGCGATGAGATCGCGCCGGACGAGACGCTCGAATCAATTTACTAGAATCAATTCGCTCGAATCGAACTATCTAAAAGTCTGATTATACATGGTTGGGATAATAATTCCAGTTTTTTCTTCTATTGTTATTATTATACATTTATGTTTATTAAATTCTATTAGATTCTATTACACTTAAATGACACAAGATTTAACCTTATTTACATCTCAGTTAAGCGCGAGTTTTTGACGAATATCAATATGATACTCACCGTCGAATCAATCCGTTTATCCAGCCGAGCGATCGACTTGGTAAGGGACGTCGGCGTGATAGCAAAACTTGAAGCGTCGCTGGCGTTACTTCGGTTGACTTTGGAACTTTCCTAAGCAAACGCCTCTCGATCCTTCAGGGTAGGTCAATTAATTTCTAAGGACTTGGATCAAGCAGAGGTCGGTCCACGTGGTACCGTGACCTTACCGACGTGACCTCAGCTTGGCCAGAGAGGTACGTTGTTCGCCCCCTGACCTGTGGCCCGTCACGATTACACGGTCGTCAAAGTTAATGACACAGTAATGATCGTCCGGCTTATAGGTCCTCGCGAGGTGACCGTGCAGCTACAGAAGAAGGGATGTCCGAGAATCGTGTACAGGCTAAAGGGAAACGGATGACTGATGGTCATCACGCGAACAGTGGACAGTGCGAGGTTAAGGGTCGGTTCTTTGGCTAATCCTGATTAATCGTGAAACGTTCCTTCTGTGCTTGTACTTTTCCTTCCCGGTCGACTAACGTTGAACAAGGGTCGTGGTCGAACAACTCGAACTTGGTGGTTTTCAACACGCGATCGTGATGTGTCAAGTGGGATTCACTTTTGGAAATTTTTTACCGGGCTGGTGCGCTTCAATTTCCTTTCTTCGGATTACACTTGGACCATAGACATTACATATTTAATCGAAATAATTTCTACTTTCTCAACGATTAATTAGTTTTATCGTTCTAAATTTATAAACGTTACGATGCAGATTTTTGACAAAGAAAAGCCCGTTCAAATATTGATTTTGTCGGAAGCTCTTATTGAAAATACTGGAACGGGGGAAACGTGCAACGTGTGCCGCTCGGCTAACAGAGACGGAATTGAAGCTCGGAGAAAGGAGTTCGGAAGTTCGTTCGACTATGGCTGAAGTTACCGCGAAACGATCCTA